TATAAGGTAATATTACAGTAATAAGCACTTATCTAAACAAATGGTAAGACATATTATGTATTTACCCAACTGCCTGATAGTCCGGCTTGAGTCATCTTCGTTTAACAAGCCGCTATCTATAATAGGTAATGATGTGTATAATCCAATCTGTATCGTGTGAAATTCCTTATCTCAACAAGCCCTAGGGAGCCGCGCACCTCTTTTTATACGACCCTCATTAACACCTATTGACTAATTGACCAATCAAATTGGGCTCCATCGGCCAGGGTCCCGGATGAAAGGAGGGGGTAGCTGCACTATTGAGTGGCTACTCTGTCCCCCCTACTCATGACGTAGAGATCCCTATTTTTAACAGACAGTGGTCAGTCTAGGGTTAATGGCTCCTATACTATCTCAACTGTGTGGCTGGGAGGACTCGATGAACCCCAGTAAATTACACATGAATTGTGAAACACAATTCTGGTGGGCTGGAAGCTTACGTCAGCTAGGAAATAAAGACGGGGTATAACTTTGTTACAATACAAAATTTGTTATATCTTAACATGTAAAGATATAGCTTCTGGTATTGACCAATCAAAATTGTACTTTCTATTTACTGCATTCAAAACCCATCTTTGCTATATACACTTATCTTATTACGTAATTAGACACTTAACAATCGTTTTTTTCGGATATCTTACCATATATGTATATTAAACAGGTTTCTACCAATTGCATCAAGTAACTGATTCAAAATGGCGCTCAGCCTTTGTTGTCAAGCATGACTCCATTAGAATACTGCATTTGTACAGATTGTTTTTTTTTCATTCATTAAAAATAATAATAATGTACAAAATGTAGTGGTAAAAAGATCATCCAAACTATTTGATTTTGAAACATTGTTTATTTTTTTTAAGAAAATTTGTACAAATCACATCTTTACCACAAACAAATCAGTGTAATATCATTCTATTATTAAACAATTAACAGTAGTTCAAGGTCTGATTTTCCAAATCTGAATGTTCTAGGACAAAGATTTCGGTAAGCAGATGCTCCACCGAGCCCACGCTAACCCCAGTGCTGAACTGTCAGCGAGTCTGAAAATGTACCAGAAATACTCCTTCCAGAAGGCCTACATCGGCCAGGACATCTTCTGGGCCACCGAGCCGAAGAAGGGAGACCACATCAACATTAAACTCAAACAGCCTGCAGAACTTGATGGGTAAGCTCTCAGTCAATCGAAATAATAAATAAATTATCATCCTGTTAAAATTGTTCTGTTATAACAAATTGATATTGTTTTCTACACAGACTCAAAAATACAACAGACAATCAAGTAGAATTGTCCTTTTTTTTCAAGGGTTGGATAAGTATGGGGGTGTCTTGTGTTGGTAAATATCCTACTATTTTAGTGTCTTCTGCAGGTTATTTTGTATAACAATACTTGGTTTACTGTAATTTGAAATGCTAGATAAAGTATTTCATTTCTCTCAGTGATTTCTGTAGTGATGTCCTTTACTGCATCATAGTTGCATGCCGAAACTCAATAATTTTATGATCTAATTACAAATAAATTAGGATTTTATTGTCTCGCTGCTACGAAATGGAAGCGAGACTTAGGTGTTGCATTATGGGCGACGGCGGCGTCAACATTAAGTTTTTGTGTTTAAGTTAGTTTCTCTGAAAGTATAAGTGCTACATCTCAGCCCATGCATTAAATGCTGAATGCGGCCTATCTTTCATGGTCCATTGACTTTTGCCAGCATCTCCATCAACATTAAGTTTTTTTGTTTAAGTTAGTTTATCGGAAAGTATCAGTGCTACACCAACCAAACTTGAACCATACATGCATCTTAGGTAGTACATCTCAGCCCATGCATCAAATGCTGGATGCGGCCTACCTTAAGCTTTCATGGTCCATTGACTTTGTCAGCATCTCCGTCAACATTAAGTTTTTGCATTTGAAGTTCGTTTCTCGGACAGTATAAGTGCTACACCAACCAAACTTGCACCATACATGCATCTTAGGTAGTTCATCTCAGCCCATTGTCAAATGCTGGATGTGGCCTACCTTTCCTGGTCCATTGACTTTGTCAACATCTCCATCAACATTAAGTTTTTTTGTTTAAGTTAGTTTATCGGAAAGTATCAGTGCTACACCAACCAAACTTGAACCATACATGCATCTTAGGTAGTACATCTCAGCCAATGCATCAAATGCTGGATGCGGCCTACCTTAAGCTTTCATGGTCCATTGACTTTGTCAGCATCTCCGTCAACATTAAGTTTTTGCATTTTAAGTTCGTTTCTCGGACAGTATAAGTGCTACACCAACCAAACTTGCACCATACATGCATCTTAGGTAGTTCATCTCAGCCCATTGTCAAATGCTGGATGTGGCCTACCTTTCCTGGTCCATTGACTTTGTCAACATCTCCATCAACATTAAGTTTTTGCGTTTAAGTTCTTTCCTCAGAAAGTAAAAGTGCTACACCAACCAACCTTGCTCCATACATGCATCTGAGGTAGTACATCTCAGCCCATGTATTAAATGCTGGATGCGGCCTACCTTTCATGGTCCATTGACTTTGTCAGCATCTCCATCAACATTAAGGTTTTGCGTTTAAATTAGTTCTCTGATACGTGCATTGATGGTCAAAGACATATCAACCCGAATGGCTTGTTGGTTCATGTGTGGCTTCTTTTATTTAAAGATGAAAATTAGAACCTCCTTTCCTACCGGTATTATAGGATTGAACATAGCATCACACTTTTTGATAACACAAGCTCTATAGGTGAACAAATTGTTGACAAGTAATTTAGCAAATCATGCATCAGAAAATACAGGCTCATATATATCCCTATATCATGATAGGTTTATGTGTTATTGTTGTATATCTTTCCCTATACCATGGTGGCTTTGTGTGTTACGATTACCATGAAATACTGATTTGAAGATTAATTCTTAAGTAATATTCCTATTTTCCAGTGTGTTGTTTAGAAGTGGAAATCCTGCACACCTGTCTGACATATTCTATAACACGAGTGTGGAGATTACCCCGGAAGACCCGGATAACGAGAACATTTTGTTGCGACAGGGATTTTTTAAAACGACTGACGGGTACTTCATCATCGGCTGGTTTGACGAGGACGGCCTTGCTGATTGCCCCCTTCCCGCAGGCATTGGAAAAGTCGTGAATATCAGACTTAATGTCCATGCCAATAGTAAAAACTGGATAATTCTCAGCGAGGTAAGTACATTTATAGTGTTTATCTACAGTGCTATATCTTGAAACCATTAACCCTTTCACCACTGTAGACCATAGTGGACTCATCCAGATCAATGTATGGTAGAGTCTACTAAAGATACCAAGGGGTGAAAGGGTCAAGTAATATCTACAAAATTACAAACCAGTAAATAGTAACAAGTCACTCTAGATCACAAAGAGTACAATATTTTGCCTATCACTGATATGTTTTATTTTATTTTGTAGGTTCATATAAAAATAATGGAACCTGGGAGCTGACAGAATTCTCGAGATAGGACCATATATACTATGTAGTGCTCCACAAGTTTGTGTGGCAGTCCCGTGCGTGTGGTTGTCGGGACGGTTGAACTAGAGGGGATGGTCCCTGGTGCTGAAAGGGTCTATCTGGTGGTCACTTGTTTGTCCAGGGGATAGTCCCTGTAACTGAAAGGGTCTATCTGGTGGTCCCTTGTCTGTCCAGGGGATAGTCCCTGTAACTGAAAGGGTCTATCTGGTGGGCACTTGTTTGTCCAGGGGATAGTCCCTGTAACTGAAAGGGTCTATCTGGTGGTCCCTTGTCTGTCCAGGGGATAGTCCCTGTAACTGAAAGGGTCTATCTGGGGGTCACTTGTTTGTCCAGGGGATAGTCCCTGTAACTGAAAGGCCTTTAAGGGTCTATCTGGTGGTCACTTGTTTGTCCAGGGGATAGTCCCTGTAGCTGAAAGGGTCTATCTGGTGGTCACTTGTTTGTCCAGGGGATAGTCCCTGTAGCTGAAAGGGTCTATCTGGTGGTCACTTGTTTGTCCAGGGGATAGTCCCTGTAGCTGAAAGGGTCTATCTGGTGGTCACTTGTTTGTCCAGGGGATAGTCCCTGTAGCTGAAAGGGTCTATCTGGTGGTCACTTGTTTGTCCAGGGGATAGTCCCTGTAGCTGAAAGGGTCTATCTGGTGGTCACTTGTTTGTCCAGGGGATAGTCCCTGTAGCTGAAAGGGTCTATCTGGTGGTCACTTGTTTGTCCAGGGGATAGTCCCTGTAGCTGAAAGGGTCTATCTGGTGGTCACTTGTTTGTCCAGGGGATAGTCCCTGTAGCTGAAAGGGTCTATCTGGTGGTCACTTGTTTGTCCAGGGGATAGTCCCTGTAGCTGAAAGGGTCTATCTGGTGGTCACTTGTTTGTCCAGGGGATAGTCCCTGTAGCTGAAAGGGTCTATCTGGTGGTCACTTGTTTGTCCAGGGGATAGTCCCTGTAGCTGAAAGGGTCTATCTGGTGGTCACTTGTTTGTCCAGGGGATAGTCCCTGTAGCTGAAAGGGTCTATCTGGTGGTGGTCACTTATTTGTCCAGGGGAGGGTCCCTGTAGCGGAAAGGGTCTATCTGGTGGTCACTTATTTGTCCAGACACTTTGATTGAATAATTAAAGAAATGTTTGTGAAAAAAGTTATTTGATAATTACCCGGTAAATGAAGTTTAACATGCATCAGTAAAAAAATTAATTGCTGTTAGTTTAATACCATTAATGTTCTAAAAACAAAATTAAATGGTAACTTTTAATGGATTGATCAGAAATTTAGTAACTTTTTAACAGATATTCAGGGATTTTTCATTATTTGGTGCATTGAATGGAAAATGAATTTTCCTGACAGTCCGAATATTAAATGTACTGTATAAGAATTGTTCAACTGTAGGGTCTGTATTCCATTACATCCGTTATTGTAAGCTATATGCTTGGCCTACCAGTGGTATAATTCAGCTACAGGGGGGGGTCTCGCTCAACAACGAACAGGGAAGGTAATCGCTCCTGTGGTCTGACATTTAAAGTACTCACCATTGTCAGCATTCGTGTCACAGAATATGTTTATGTGTATAAGACACTTTCAAAATCTTAAATGTTTAGAGCAAATGTTTTGTAACCAGAGACCACACACAAGCTTTTGTGATAGAAAATAAGTTCTGACACATTGAGAACAAGATGTCAGTGGTGTTGTATCACTGTAAGCCTCCATACGTCCGCACAGTTTCGTTTCAGTCAATCTAACAAATTATTTTCAAGTTATGGCGAAACACTGGATGCGAGACGATTCAGCATTTCTGTGACTCATATTGAAGTAGGGGAGGTTAGTATTTACAGAAATCAGGTTAAACCAATTTTTGAAACATTTATGAGTTTCTAACATTTTGTCATCGAAGTTTGAAATGTTTTTTTATTCCCAAATAATTTATTGAGATGATTTTGTACTCCAACAGAGATAAATGTATAGGTTAGTATCATGTATATCATACCTTTATTCAATTGAATCTTTTAACTCGGGACTTTGTTCGCAGAACAATCTTATTCCTGATAAAAAATGCACTCTACCTTAGGTGTGGTCCGGGACTAGTCTTTTTAGGGCCATCTTTTTCCAACATGTCTTTTGTTCCACTCGGAAATGAGGTCATTATCACTGCGGAGTTATGCATGGCGGAAATTGCTGCCGATCCACAATGTGTTCAGAGTTGAACTCTGTAGTTTGCTGTTAAGTGTATTTACATGGATGTTTACAGGCCATTTTTTGTGGCCGAATATGGGCCAGTTCCCCTCTCCAATTTCGGCCTTATTTTCCCCTTTTTCAGTCTAAAAATTCAACCATTTGTAACTAAAATACTACCACTTGAATCTGTCTTGGTTCCATTTTTCTTTAATTTTCCCATCAGTTCCACAACTGAGTGATTATTTCATTTTCCCCGTGTTGATATTAATTGTCGCTGCTGATATTTTAAAATCTATAATGAACAGCGAGAAACAAAACTAAANCCCCCCCATCTCGTGCTCTCCCCCTGGCTCTGGCCTGCAGCTCTCGCTGGAGGGGTCATGCACCTAAAGCACATATTTTCCCTTATATCAAAAAAGGGTACTAACTTTCTATTCTTGCATAAACCCTGATTTAGTATGTTTATGTGTTGGAGAAAATAGTCAAGGCAGGGAAAATCTGATACACCAACAGGTTGAGATTTCCTTAGATTCTGTTACCCATCTATTATCATATAAATATCAAACACATCTAGCTGTTCTATCATACCAGTGTAACATCCATCTTCTGTATAATACTGATACAGCATATCTTACAAGTGTTACATACATACCAGGGTAAATAATTTGAGTCCATTTCTAAAAATAGCTACCTTTATGACAGATGTTGTTGATGTCTGTGAAAATGTTTCAATTTCTTCGTACTTTTTTCCATTTCAAAAGTGAAATTTTTTAAAAAAAAGTAAAGGGCTTCTTCTTGAGTGCTGTTTTAATGATTCGGAAATATTTTGTATATAAAATTTTACTTACGCAATGATACTTCTTTTAGCTTGAACTTACTGTAATTCCTTTTTTGCACTAAATATTTGTGCTGAATTCGGTACATTTTTTACTTTCATTTTAAAAGCAATCTTATTTTATATTTCGTTCACAATTCATAAATGCCTCCTTTTTTGTATGTACCTTCCATTGATGTGTGTTAGAGAAATGTCTTCAGTGTCACTTATAACGACAAAAAGTTGTTTAGAATGCCGAGTCCACTGTGGAGGAATTTATTGTTCCTATACTGTAAAATATCTGCATATGTAATGGTCCTCATCTTTGTTGTTCATGTAACAGGGAAATAATTTGTGCTTGTCTTCAAAATCCTGGATCCTTTCTTGATGATACAATTGTTTTAATTGATTTTAATGTCAATAATACTTCCACAGAGACAACGAATGTGTGTAACGTATGTGTGTAACGTATGTGTGTAATGTATGTATGTTTGTAACGTATGTGTGTAATGTATGTGTGTGTGTAACATGTGTGTAATGTATGTGTGTGTGTAACGTATGTGTGTAACGTATGTGTGCGGTACTGTGTCGTGTATACTCATTTCTATTGTACTGGTGTATACCAGTACATAATCACTCTCTATTGTACAATGTATTGCTGTGTATGTGACTGACAATCTTTACTGGGATGGGATTTTGTTGTGTATGTATGTAGGGAAGTGGTTTGACTATTTGCCTTTGTTCTAGTCAGTTGTATGTCACCAACATGCGTATGTCACACGTACACTTGTGACGCATCACCTGTCACACATTTTACTTTGACAGTGTGTCACCCTTCTGTAACGACAGCTGTGACGTTTACTATGACAGTGTGTCACCGTTCTGTAATGACAGCTGTGACGTTTACTATGACAGTGTGTCACCGTTCTGTAACCACAGCTGTGACGTTTACTATGACAGTGTGTCACCGTTCTGTAATGACAGCTGTGACGTTTACTATGACAGTGTGTCAACATTCTGTAACCACAGCTGTGACGTTTACTATGACAGTGTGTCACCGTTGTGTAACGACAGCTGTGACGTTTACTATGACAGGTGTCACCATTCTGTAACGACAGCTGTGATAAGTGTATGTGACATGTACAGTTGTGACGCATCACCTGTCACACATTTTACTATGACAGGTGTCACCATTCTGTAACCACAGCTGTGACATGTACGTGACATATCATTTTTCACACATTTTGCTATGACAGGTGTCACCATTCTGTAACCACAGCTGTGACGTTAACTATGACAGTGTGTCACCGTTCTGTAATGACAGCTGTGACGTTTCCTATGACAGTGTGTCAACATTCTGTAACCACAGCTGTGACGTTTACTATGACAGTGTGTCAACATTCTGTAACCACAGCTGTGACGTTAACTATGACAGTGTGTCACCGTTGTGTAACGACAGCTGTCACGTTTACTATGACAGGTGGCACCATTCTGTGACCACAGCTGTGACGTGGACGTGACATATCACCTGTCTCACATTTTACTATGACAGGTGTCACCATTCTGTGACCACAGCTGTGACGTGTATGTGACATATCACCTGTCACACATTTTACTATGACAGGTGTCACCATTCTGTGACCACAGCTGTGACACATCTTACTATGACCTTGTCTTTGTGACATAATTCTACGTCAGGTTTTTCTTTCGCAATATATCGTTTTCAATTTTATTTAAATTTTAGCCTTTCAATTTACATGGGTTTCCCCTTTAGTGATATTGTTACAATACCTTATATCTGGTCAAAACAGATTATTGTTTTCAATCTTTTATCACCTTGCAGCTATAATTGAATCATACTTAGGAGTGAGAAAATACTGTGCTGTCTCTGTGACACATGATCTGTACAAGTCTATTAATTACGAAACATGGCTATGACATATGTCTGTGACACATGATCTGTACAGGTCTATTAATTATGATACATGGCTATGACATATATGTCTGTAACACATGATCTGTACAAGTCTATTAATTATGATACATGGCTATGACATATATGTCTGTGACACATGATCTGTACAAGTCTATTAATTATGAAACATGCTATGACATATGTCTGTGACACA